GCATAAGCACCTGCCTTGCAAGCAGGCAGTCGTGAGTTCGATCCCCGGTACCCATAAAAATGAAAAAGACCAAAAAAAAAAAAAAAAGAAAAGAAAACAATGCTCTTTGTGACAGGGAATAAGAAAAAAGTGAGAATAGCTTGCCCATCAACTGCAGAATGGATAAGAAAGCTATGGAGGGGGCAGAGATAAGATGGCAGATAGATAACAGCCAGCTACAGTGACTCCATGAGATAGTCAAGTTAGAACTCTACATGGCAAGCCCCGAACAAAGGGAGAGGAATTCTCTCATCTCAAGAAGAAACTAAGGTGAGAAAAGTGAATCATACACTCCTGGCTGTCTGCGACACTGTGTAGCCCTGAGTGCCTCTGGGCTGCCAGTGAGACAGGCTATCCCCGCACCACTGCCTCCAGCCGCCGCCTCCAACTCTGTCGCCAGGGGCCAGCCAGAGGCTGGGGGAGTGAAACCACTTGGCACCCACCGGCTGCCTCCACCCCCACCACTACTGCCTCCTCCCTAGATCCGGGCAGTGTCCAGGAGGGCATGAGGAAGAGGGCGGGTTGCAGCCCCAGGGGCTTGGGACTGCATTGCTGGGATGCATCCCCACCTTTGCACTCGCTGCTGGCACAAGGACCTGAGCCCACAGCACTGGCACTGAGCAGGCCCCCGCCTCCAGAGTATCCCTGAGGTCCCCAGGCAGGCAAGTGTGTCTTCCCCACCTCCAGGCCAGCATTACTGAAGCCCCACGGAGCTGCCACCACTGCCACCACCATCCTGGATCTGGGCCACATCCCAGAGGGTGAGAGGATAAGGGCATGTTGTGATGCCACAGGCACAGGACCAGACCTGCTGGGACGCATCCTCACCTTCTCACTCACCACTCATACAAGGACCCGAGTGGAAGACACCGGCACTGAGCAGGCCACCACTTCCAGAGTGCCCCCAAGGTCCCCAGGCAGGCGAGTGTGTCTTTGCCTGTCTCCAGGCCAGCGTGACCAGAGCCCACAGAGCTGCTGCCGTGAATGGAGCCCAGAGAAGCTGCTTCTGAAAACACCTCTTCAGACAATAATCAAAAATACAGAACCAGAACTTTCTGGTTTCCTCCTGTGATTGACCAGCTTAAGGGAATTGGGCTTGCCTGCTTGTGCCCTGAAATCTGGACTGGGTGACCTGGGGTGAGTGTCCCCGCACCAGCCCAAGCCCCTAGAAGGGAGTTTAAGATATCTCAGGTAACAGCAATTTGGGGAGGACAGCAAAACCCCAGGCAGCATGCTTCAGAAAGACACTAAGCCATACAGAGAGGGCCAGAGACACACCCCCCCCCCGACACACCTGTCTGAAAGAAACCAGAAACATGACAAAAGATACAAACAAACAAAAAAAACCCTCTAGCCACTGACCCTGGAAAAATAAGCCCAAGAGAAATAAATACAGAAGAGAAACAGTGCAGTAATCATGCAATACAGCTTCAGCAGACATAAAGAATACCTTCATCACCTCATAGATGAATTTAAAACTGTACCTCTGATCCAAGGGAAGCAAGATATAAAAAGATTAATTAAAGAAATGATAAGCCTCTCCCAAGAGAACACAGGTGGAAGAACAGAGGAACTCAGAAAAGGAAGAGAAACCTTTGATGAAGAATATAAACAAAATCTAGAATACATGAAACAGACCCAAAGAGATTACCAGGAAACTAAAAACTCCATTGAAAGCTGGCAAAATGCCTTGACAGAAACTAAAGTTAGCCTTTGAAACTTGCAGAGAGATTTATGATATGTGATTGTGAAAGAAAAGATCTCTCAATAATAACAAGAAACCAGGAAGAAAAAATACAAAGGCTAGAAGATGACAAGAGAATTTATAACTTAAGAATAAAAAATGTGAGTGAAGAAGCATGAGTAACTACAAATGAGCTACAAAGAATATTAACAGATATAATTAAGGAAAACTTCCCAAGCATAGGAAAAAGAAATGATATTCAGATAAAAGAGGCATACAGAACTTCAGCCACCTACAACCAAAACAGATCTACACCCAGACATATAATAATCAAGATTCTAGAAATCCACCACAAGAACAGAATATTAAAAGCAGCCAGAGAAAAAAAGCAGATTACCTACAATGGAAAAATTATCAAAATAATGACAGACTTATCAACACAAACTCTCAAATGGAAAAGAGCCTGGGGGAAAATAGTTCAAGCCCTGAAAGAAAATAACCTCCAACCAAGACTGATGTACCCAGAAAAACTCTCTCTCAAAATTAATGGAGAAATAAGATATTTCCAAGACAAAGAGGAACTGTGGGAATTTATGGCCACCAACCCAACCCTACAAAAAATACTGAAGGACATTCCAGAGAGAGAGGAAAAAATACCAGGATTCCAGCAAGAGTGACAGAGAGGCCTCAATGAATGGGGCAGACAATGGAATGGAGGAGTAAAGTGGACAAACAATAGCCAAAGAATAGAATAGCAGAGATGAGGCAGAGACAGTAAGCTATAATCTTTAATACAGATAGCCCTGATACACTAACAAAAAAGAAACACAGGCAGAGTAGACTAGGAGGCAGGATCCATTGAGATGCTCTGAATAGGAGATACACTCAACCTGAAAGAGCGTTAATAAACTGAGAGTCAAAGATGAGAAAACAATGCTGTATCTGACAGGAAACCAGAGAGAAATAGGGACAACTTGTCGAGCAGCCCCAGATAGACTGGAAAGCTATGACACTTTTGGGCAGTGTAGAACTACACAGCTAGAAGGAAGGACAACCTTGTGACTTGAGTAAGTAAAGGAGTACTCAAGATCAAGCTCAGGGGTAAAAAGGTTTAGCAACACTCAGATAGATAATAGGTTGACCCCCTAACCTAAAAACTAAAGGAGCTAGTGGGACCCATAATATACAAAGCACCCTGAGAAAAGGAAAAGGAAGGAATTGTCTAAGAAAGGAAGGCAGAGGACATTGTTAAAGTGTATCAGTATTTAAAAGTCACAGTAGTTTGATCTTTCTGCTTCATTTGATTATATTGTGTTCTGGTCTGTCTACCCATATTAGATTTGAGGACACAGACAGCTAACCCAAAAATAGCAGGTTATACCATGATAACTATCCGTAATTTCCTACTAACTTAAACTGAAACTCTGTATTACTTGCATTGTCTTACTATGACTGATTTTATTTGAAGCTGGTTCATTAGACTGCTGTTTAGCCTTGACTGATTTCATTTGAATATGGTATCCTTGATAGTATTAAGTCTGGGAATGGAGACAACTACTCTGAAGATGACAAGATGTAAAGATATCATTCTGGTTTTGATTATTAACTGCTTTCAAGTCCTACAATATCTTCAAAGTTGTTTTTAATAAAATAGCTATGTAATGTTATGTTCAATTATATTATGCTTGATGATGTGGACAATTCTATTGAAAATAAAAGCATAGTAACTACTGTAGATCACCTAATAATGTGGTCCTATATGTCTTTTTCATTTCATGTTTTTCTAGGAATTTATTTTGCTATCTTGTTTTGATCTATTTTTCCCTATAATACATAAAGGATAGATACACATGTAGAGAGTCACACAGGGGAATAATTTCTAAACTATTTATGGGAACGGATTATATAATACACGATGTAATGAACGGATGCTCTGAAGAAGAAGAGACACTAAGAAACCCAGTGCTAATTCTGTAGCATTATGATATGAAATCTAGCAATACTATCATTCACTGTTCAGAGTGATAGTAGTCTAGTCTCTTATGTTTAATTTCAGACAGCTACTAAGAAGAGACTGAGAAACATTATGGTAGATGATAGGATTATTTCCAAAAGATATTATTTCCAAAAGATATGAAGTATAAAACAAAAGAGGCCTTTATTCTGAGAACACGGAGATAACCAACACCCCCCGGCCTCTGGAGTCTGGTGATCTCTCCAGCGGACACGTGGCATGGGGGGTATATAAGTAGCCTAAGCTTAGGGTAGTGTCCGGGGGCCATTAGAGATGCACAGGTATTTCATTGGCACACGTTTGGTGCCAGGGGTAGATTCCTAAGGGTCAGGGGAGATAGAGTTATTACAGGTAAATATCCAGGGGCGGGGGAGGTAGGAGCTCCCTGGTTCCTGCTGAGGCTTTTTCTGGCTACAGTGTCCGGTCTGGGCCAAAACCCTTTCAGTAGACATTATTGATTTCCCCAAAATCAGGCCCGAAGACCTAAAACTTTCTTCATCCTCTAATGATCTGATTAGTTCTATAATGTTCAGTATATATTCAATGTGTGTGAAGATTAGGACAACTATATGGAAGAAAATTAGAGACAATAAGACAGACAGTGAAGATTTCCAGTGGACTTGCTTTGAAATCTGTTTCTTTGTTTCCTTATAAACTGTTTTGTTGTTTTGCTATGTTTAATCTTACCCTCTTTAAGATAAAAAAACAGATGTGTAGGACTGATAACTATATTACTAAGTTCTTGTTGGATCATTGAGCAGAACTGTTTGCAGTGTCATTGTTTGACTATCACTTTGTATGCTTTAATTTTGTAACCTGAGCAACTATTTCTAAGATGATAGTATGTAACTTATTGACTGGTGATTTCTTATTGTTTATTTTTCTGAAATTCTATATTGTTTCTACCCTTTTTATCTGTTTTTTCTTTAAATAAAAGAATTTATTAAAAAAAAGAGAAAGCTATGGCATTTTTATACAATGGGAAGCTACTCAGCTATAAAGAAAGATAACTTAAAGGTTCTTGTAGGTAAATGAATACAACTTGAGATCATGCTAATGGGTGAAATGGTTCAGAGTCACATGGGTGAACACTGTGTTGTATCCCTAATATACAAAACTGAAGGAGTTAGTGGGATTCAAATTGCACAATAGATATTGTGAAAGTGAAAGGGGAGGAAATGTCGAAAAAGGAAAGGCAGTGGCCATTGTTAATTTATTATCAGTTTTAAAACTTTAAATTGTTTCCATTGTTCTGTTAATTTTTTTAGTAGGAGAAATATACTACCATTCAACCTCTACTGAAAGGTTGGCAGCCCTGAGAATTCCTTTATTCATGTAGCATGTTACAGATGCATTTCTACCCCCAATGTTAATTTGGGTTTATTATGTTATGTATTTTTGGATTTGATTATGTTTGATGGCATGGACAGCTGTCTCAAAGATAACAAAATATATTATGGTAGCCATTATTGAGTTCCTAATAGTTTGTTTCGAAGTTCTGTATTGCTTTCATTGCTTTGTTTTGATTGATTTTATTCTATTTTGTTTTCTTTGATTGTATCATGTCTGATGGTATAAGCATCTACTTTGAGGATAACAAGAGGCATTATGATAGCTACTGTTGTTTTCCTGTTGTCTTGTTTTGAAGTCTTGCATTACATTCATTGTTTTGTTTTGATTGGCTTTATTCTGTTCTGTTTTGTTTGATTTTACTATGCCTGACAGTATGGACAGTTATTTTGAAGATAGCAAGAGGCATTATGGTAGCCATTATTGATTTCCTTTTATCTAGTTTTGAAGTCCTGTACCACGTTCATTGTTTTGTTTTGATTGACTCTACTCTGCTTCATTTTGTTTGGTTTTATTCTCTTCAAAATAAAAAAAAATGAACAAAAAATACATATATAAAAACCTCTTCTATATTTGTATCTCTATCTGTATCGCTATATTGATCTGTCTATTTATCATCTGTCTATCATCTATCTATCTTATTGAATTTGTTGCTCTGGAGAATCCTGAGTACAAAAGGAGACAATGAAAAAGAAAATGAAAAGCAAATAATTTCAAATCATTGAAAAATACTCTAAAAAAGAAAATAATAGCACTCTTTGGGAACATACTGTGCAAGAGAGGACCATTTTCCATAAGGTGGCCAGGGAGCTCGTTCTGAGGGAGCAGCATCTTAACAGAAACAGTAAGGGTGAGTGGGAATGGGGGGAGAGTCACGTGCTCCCAAGGCAGGAGAAGCAGCTGCTGAGGGATGGGAATTGAGAGAAGAATTTGGCTAAGAGAGCAGGAATCAGTTACACACAGAGAGTTTGATGGGATATAGACACTGTCTGGCTTTTATTCTACTTGTCATACACGGGTTTTAAGAGGAGCAGAAATGTATTAACATCTTCAAAACATCTTTCTTGCTGTCCTATGGTAATAGTCAGGAAGATGATAGTAATATCCCTGGATTTAGATACAATGCTGGTTATCAGGTGCATTTGGGGGTGTAATCATACTAAGGAATCTTCTGAGGTTAAGAGAAAGAATTAAAGCAGCAACTAGCTATCTGTTTGGCTCTGAGTAGACAGTGAAGACTTTTGCTAAAATGTAGAGAAACTGGAAGGAAATACTTAGTGTGTATGTGTGTGTGTGTGTGTGTGTGTGTGTGTGTGTGTGTGTGCTGGGGCAACATAACTCATTTTCATTTAAAAAAATTTAGAAAATAATGAAATAAAATTGACCCTTTATTTAGAGCTGAATGCTCTTCTTGGTCAGTGCATGTTAGTCCGGTCTTTTTGATTTACATCTATAATTTTTTTGAATACACAGCACATACTGAAGGTAGAAGACTCTCCCTGGGTATGAGTGGCACCAACCAACAGGCTCACAGCCTGAATGGAATAAAATGGAAAGGAAGAGGAAAGGCTGCTCTGTTTTTGTTTGTTTGTTTATTTGTTTGTTTTTGGAGGAGCTCGTCTTTACCTTCATCTTAGACGTCATTGCCTGGCTTCTAGTGATGAATATTTATTCCCCCATTGTAGACCCTTGAGCTTCCTGATACAAACTGACCTGGGACACTACTGTGAGCTGCAGGCCTTGGACTTTTGACAGATCCTTTAGACACCCAGTGCACAGACAGTCCTTTTGCATTCTTCCACACCTGCCCTTGCAGGTGGCCAGTGTAAGCCTGTCTTGTATAACCCTTTATATTCATATATCTTATATTAAACCTGTTTCTTATATTAAACCAGTGCCTGGTGAGCACTGGCCGATGTACTTGCTTTGCTGTGTGATCGTGGGAATTTACTTGTGCTCCCAAATTTCATTTCTTCATCTGTAAAATGAAAGTGATCCTAACTTGAAATTTAATGCCTTATTGTGAAAATAAGATCTAAGATATGATACGGATAATGTATTAAGCACAGTCCCAGGAAAATACTGAGCACAGAAATTGTTCATTATCATTTGTATGCATATAACTTTTTCTCTGGGATAAATTTTAAAAGAGGAATTGCTACCCTAAAGTATTATACAAAATAACAACAGAAAAAAAAGAGTGAATTTTCAGTCCCTATAATAACTTCTTAATTTTTTTTCCTGGACGCACCCAACATTTTCTTTTTCTGGCCCTAATGGGTGTAGGAAGAGAAAAAAAAGTAAGAAAAATTCACACAGTAAAATCAATAAGAAATTAGATCATACCTATATATGTTCCAGAATATGAAATTATCAGCGATTAAATATCAGTATTTTTCTTGATTATTTTAAGATAATTCAGTACTGCATTTCCATTGTATGGCATTCTTTTCTTAGAAAAAAATATTATCACCTTGTTACTCCAGAAAGGTCATTCTACCTTGGAGATGAATCCATGAATGTCTCAAATGGATTTGCTGGTGATGGGAAATGGGTGTGATGACAAAAATGAGCTTAGCTGTGTCAGCTTAGCTGTGCAATTGCTGTTTGGTTTGTTGCACCATTGATGAATCTGCTCCTTCCCAGAGGTTTCACTTGCCCACATTCCCATGAGTCAAAGTACTTCTGATCCTACTAAAGTCATTTCAAGAGTCAAAGAAGCCGTCCCTCATAGAAGAAGCTACAGTGGAGAGTGGGCCTGAAGTCAGTGAAACCTTCAGTCCAGCCTAGGAAGAACTTCATCTTGAGCTCAAGATGAGTAATGGAGTGGATGCCTTGATGTGTAGTGGCTGGAAAAGGCTTGGCAACTTCAGAGTGCAGCATAGTGAATTCAAGCCAAGGAGCCAGAAAAGTGCGCGCGGAAACACTTAGGAACCCACTTAAAACAGATTAATGTTTTTATCAAATTAAATTAATTGGCCCAGAAGCCAATGGAATATGTGTTGGTTAATTTAAAAAAACCTACCACCTAACAAACACCCTCTCTGACAACACTAGACATGATTTGGCTCAGAAATGGCATCATGGAAAGAGCCAAAGGCAGAGGAAAGTGGTTCTGATCTGCTTACACTGTCATCATAATGCCTTATTTCATAGAAACTGAGATACGCCCTTACGGATACAAGTAAATAGTCTGTGGAAATATGTGCAGTGCATAAAATGCTATAAAATATACACAATTGTGTTCGGCTCAAACCTCCAATGAACAAATGATGAATGGAAGCCTAAAGAAGTTAGGCAACTAAGTCAAAGACAGACAAGTTAGTAGTCCACTGTAGGACTGGAAGTTGCATCCTCTGACTCCAGGTTTTCTCTTAAATATGGAGGATGACACCTTGATTCCCATAATATTAATACACATGATAGTTCCCATTTATCGGGCCATGAGCATCTGGACATATCTCACTAAATCTACACAAAATTTGGGGTGGTGCAGTGGACATCGTTCCAAACCCTGGCACAAAATACCTGACACAGATAACTTAAGGAGAAGAATTTTATGCTGGTTCAGGGTTTCAGAGAGTTCTGTTCTTAGAAGGCTCAATCCAAAGGAGAAACAGAAAAGTAGAAGGAGCTGGCAGAGCAAACTCGCTCAACTATGGCATCCAGGAAGCAGAAAGAAAAGATTCAGAAAGAGAGAGAGAGAGAGAGGCCAAGGTACCCCACTGGTCTACCTCCTCCAACCAGGCTCCTCCAACCAGGCTCCACCACTAATAGCACATTCAACTATGAACTCAACAATGGATTAACCCACTAGTGAACAAAGCATCTCCATGTTCCTAACACCTTCGGAAAGCTCTGAAAGCTCTGTCTCTGAACACATGAGAACTGGCAAAAATTTTAGATCAAAAACATAACAAATCACCTTCCAGATGGGAAGAGAAGTTACAAAACTTATTTGTGCAATAGCAGAAGGAAAAGTATGTACTGGAGGATTTCTGGTTCTAATGCGCACATTTTCCCTCAGCCATCTACCTCATTTCCTGAAGAGTCACTTAAGATTCAGTCCTCAAGAGTGTCAGAAATGTTGCAGAATGGACGGGCCATGGGGAACATTTGTTATGTTGCAGGAATCAGCTAGGGCTGTACAAGCTACATTGCTCTTCTAGTCCAAGGAGATAGGTAGTTTCATTACTACTTTATAAAGAAAAGACAAGTTCACTAATAAATAGTCAAGGAACTTAACTAAAATCAAAGTACAGATGGGACTATACTCACACCTAACTCCAAAGAGTTTTCCTTTGTACCTGATGCCTCCACCTTACATGACTGCCTTATAAATATTACAGGTACATTAATAGGCTTGTTATCAATAAAAACTGATTTTTACCAATAGCCAATCACTATAAATAATCACTGAGGCAGATGGACCAGAATCAAAGGAGAGGAGAGATGAGATGAAGAAATACACAATTCTTTTACAGTAATAAGAAAATGAATAACATCTTATATAAAGCATTTTCAATTCTAGCCCTTGCCAGAATTTTCTTGCTTTACTTATAATATTTAAATGCTCATAAAAGGCTATATTATATCTTATTTAACAGTGGAATCCTTTCCTATATATTTTTTTCTTACTAGAATACTAATTAGAATCCAGAACGTGGTAGGAAGCCTTTTTGGTAAGGGTGAATAGCAACTATTTTAGTGAGATGGGTCATCCCATCTCTGCGATGACTTCACTCTGACATACAACATGGGAGCAGCCACTGATGATCCATAAATGAGTGGGCGTGGCTGTGTTCCAATAGGACTGTGTTTACAAAAGCAGGTGGTGAATGGGGGAGCTGTCCATGAGCCTGGGATTCCCAGCCCCGGATCTCTAAAGTTTAGTTAACGTTGCCCTACTATATTTTCATAAACTGCTAGAATATAGTACATAGCTTTGTTTATCTCCAAGCATTTTAACTTTGAGTTAAATAATCAGATGACATATGTGTAATAAAGAGGTTTACAAAAAGTCTAGAGGAATTCTTTAACTGAGAC